TTTTTTTTTTTTTTTTGATGATTCTCAAAGGCTCTTCTGAATCTTCAAGGGCCCCGAGGGACTGAGGCAGGGCAGAGAAAAGGCTGAGTCACATTATAAATATATATTTCTTTTATGACATTAAAAATGTATAAAATAGCAGAATAGGCTCAATTTAAACAGATCCTGTAACTCGATAGGGTTCTTTACACACCTATTTAACGAAGTTCTTCTAAAGACAGCCCCCACCCCAGCTGTGAGCTGACAGGTGATCAGAATATGAGAATAATAAGCAAGCCGTGGACAACGCAGGTGTACACGTCCTCCGTCATCCTTCCTTTCCCTGTCACGGCTGCTCTGACTTTTCCTCCCATCTGTTCTTCTGTTACATGGGAAAAACTGGAAGTAGATCCAGACTTATTATCATCCATTCCTGAACACTCACACGTTTAAGGCCTTACAAGTTGCTCTCAACAGACATCTCACTCTTGGAGAGAACACGCCTTCCACTAGTCCTCATACTTGCCCATCTCCTGACAGCAACTGGCATCACTGACAACACCCCTTGACCACCCTGACACTGAACTCATCTGGGCTTCTTCTGGCTCCTCTTTTATCACTAAGAGTAAAATCTCATTATTTCTCAAAGATATTGTTCTTCTCCTCTCTGAGTAATGAAAGCTTTGGGGTCGAACAATCCTTAGTGCAAACCCAGGCATTGCCACTCACTAGCTGTGTGGCCGTGAGCAAGGGATGTTTTACCCTTCGGTTTTTCTCATATGCATACAGGGATAAGATATGTAATATGAATTCTTTACACATATAAGGATACCATTACATATATATACGCAATGGGCATTACACACACACAGACACAGGTCATATGAGATAAACACCGTATATAACAGACGCACCACGGAATTCTTTCTCACATCTACCTCATGTCTTTACACCATATGGTACACTTTCTCCCACTAAATTCTCTCCCCAGGTTGAGCCCCACATCTCCAACTGTCTGCTGGGCTTATCTTGCTGGATATCCAGACAACAACTAAAATTCTGCATGTTATAAACGGAACTCACCTTCTGCCCCAAACCCATTTTTCCCCTCCTTCCATTAATAACACCAATATTCTCCCAGGATGGAATATTCAGCATCATTTATAACACCTTCTTCTGAGGTACAAATGCAGTGCCTGGACTGTGTCTATCCCACCTCACAAACTGATGCTCTCCACCTGTAACTCACCACTCTCACGACCATGCCATGTGACCTCTCACCTGGTCTTTTATTCCTCTACTTTCTGTTGCCAACCCTGATGCCAGGTTAAGCACGAGAGGCTTAATCTTAAAAACCAGGAGAGGCCCCGATACCTCTAAAATTAGATCCAAAGTCCTAAGGTGGCCGTCTGAAACTCCCCACACCTGGCCCAGATCTCCTTCCAATCTCATCTCGTACCGCTCGCCCCTTTGCCAACAGGAGCCTCGTGTTCCCAGAACACACACCTGCTCTGTTTCTCTGATGACATGATGCCCCACACCTGAAGTGTCCCCTTAAAACACCTCCACCTGTTCAAACTCCATTCTAAAACCTACTCAAATCACCTCTTCAGGAAACGTTCCAGATTCCCCACAGGTGGACATAAACTCTCCTCGGGAGTCTCGGGGGCTCTCTCTCTATCTGTGTGAGAGCGCTTAACTCTCCACCATTTCTTCTTTTCCCTACAGGACTGTCTTCACTTCTCCCAAATCTCACACCATGTCTGATTCAGAGCAGGCACTCATGACAGATGTACTGAATTAATCCGTAACAAGTACAGTCCGTCCTCCGTGGGTTCCCCATTAGCGGATGTAATCAACAGCAGATCGAAAATATTTGGAAAAAAAGGTTCCAGAAAGTTCCAAAAAAGCAGAACTTGCATTTGCTGCATGCTGGCAACTACTTACATAGCATTTACACTGTATCAGGTATTATAAGTAATCTAGAGATGACAAAGTATACGGGAGAATGTGCATAGGTTATATGTAAATACTCTGCCATTTTATATAAAGGACCTGAGCATCCGTGGATTTTGGTATCCACAGGGGGTCCTGGAACCAATCCCCCCCCAGATACCGAGGGACAACTGTATACTTTAAGAACAAAACATATGCAGAACTCACACATTTCTGAGGCACAACCCCAATTTGAAAGTCCTTGGGAATTTCACAGTACCCTTTCCACCTGGGAAATGCAATTTTCTGGTTTGCAAGGGAAGAAAGAACTTGATAACTTTTTTGGCCCGCGAACACTTCTTTTAAAACAACATCTTAATGTACTGAGTGGAAATGAAGCCAAAACATATGGATTAAGTTTCCTATAAAGTACATATGGATTTTATGAAAACAACGAAGAGGCTTGGATAAGATGTGATCTCCAAAGCAGATTAACCAAGGGTCTTTTTCTAACTCCGAAATTAATCTGGAGCGTTCTTGCTTTAATTATATGTTGAAAGTTTCCTTTTCTGACTTAGTGACTTTCCTAGTCAGAGTTACCATTTTTCACATTCCTAGGGAAGAAAAATAAGTAACTGAGGAAAAGAAAACATTTTCCTTCTACTGTCATTACCGCCCACCCCCCCCCAATTCCTTCTCCTTCATAGACACCACCTAGGCCGTTTCATTTCATTGCTAGTTTCCCCTCCTTTTTTTAATGATAATTTTGTTTCCTTCCTCACGAGACTATTCTTTTTAACGTTTGCTAGCCCTCCTCCCTCTCTCTTTTTCTCTTTGTTCTCAAACATTAAGAGGAACCGTATCTCTCCCTCACTACATTCAAGTAAAACACCAGCTCCTTCGGGTGGTGCATGTGGATCAGTTGTCAGGGAAACATATGGCTCAGCTGGGGCCAGACATCCCTACAAAGTGTTTCTACGCAATCACCCTTGTTAGCAGAAATACTCCTCCTCATAGCAGAGCCTGGACTCCGAAGTGAAGACCACTTGAGCATGAACAACGAGCTGGGAGTGAGAGTGACAGTGGACAAGGATGAAATTGAAGAGGTGAATAAAGGGGTAATAGGGATATTAAGTTCTCAAAAATGTTCACTAATCCAAGCTCACTGCCCCTACCCAGCCCCAAGCAACCCTCTGCTTCCAAAGCTAAACTCACACACTCAATGAAGAATCTGAAAGTCACTATCTCACCTCCTCTTGGTAGGAAACCTCAGGACTGCAATCAGTATTGGTTGTGCGTTCACAGCACTATCTAGCCTGGCCACCGAAAGGGAGAGAGGAAGAACCGAAAGCCCTCTACTTCGTTCAATGAAGCTGCATCTCCGAGAGTGGGTCCAGTTCCATCTGCTGTTAACTATTATAATTGGCTCACCAATGCCACTTGGAATTCCTGTAAGATTGGTTAACAAGGTGAAAGCAGCCCTATCGATTTCCCAGCAGAAAAAAAATCGTGTACTTATCTTCCCAGCTTCAAATAAGAGAAGGAAATAGGAAGCTACGGCATTAGATGGAGAACCTTTTATCCAAGAGCAAGACCCAGAACCAGTATTTTCACAAATAAATTGGATAAAAGTTCTCTTAATTGGGATTTAATCTAATGATAGTTGCGCTCCTAAACATTGCCTCGAAGCTTATAGTCTAATCATTTCTTTTTGTCAAAATGAATAGTAGCCATCGTGCCCTGAAGCTGTCTGGATACTTCCGTACACATTAATGACAGTTTGACGGGGCCATAAGAGGAGGCATAAATGCACCACTAGCTACCAAAAAACAAAACCAAAAACCCCACCAATGTCTGACACCCACAAAACAAGCTGCTTTTACCACACAGATAAAGCAAATCTCTAACCAGGTTTCAAGCCTAGCTTTTCAGAGGGAATCGATATTTGCACCAGCTAGAACTGCTCTAGCCAACCAAGAAATGTTCTCGCAACACTTGTGCAAAAGGACTACACCTCTCTTCATCTGTCTCTTTCCCACTCCCCTGACCCCCAGAAATTTCACTGAATCCATTACTTCACCAAATAAATACTAACCAAGTGCCTAAGGAATACCAGGTATTGTTCTAAATGTGCAAAAAGATCTTTGCCCTCAAAGATCTAGAAGAAAGAAATAGATAACAACTAGAAAAATAAGTCAATTGCATAATATGTTAGACAGGGATGTGTGCTGTGGGACACAAGTCCCGAAACAGGGCTCAACCCCCTAGATCGTGACCCGCTTTCCATCAGGGACTGTAATGTTCATCTTCACCTCCCAGCACCTAATACATACTTGGCATATAACGCAATCTCAATATTTTAGAAAATTTATAAACAATTAAAGTTGTTGACCAAGCATTTTAAGTTTTCCAATTCCCTATCTTAAAAGTGAGGAAAGTTATTAGCAAGGTCCTGATCTATATGAACAGAATAAAGGGGGGAAAAATATCTAAAAGTTCTTGTAAGAGTCTATTGTATTTTGAAAAATCATGTATTCCCTTGAATACAGAGAAACAAACAACAGGATATGTTACCTAAGATTCATTTTAAACCAGAGATTCTCAACCTGGAGGCCCCGGGTTTGAGGATGTTGTGAATCCCCTGAAATTGTTAGCACAATTGCAGGGAGAGGGACAGTTGTGTGTGTTTTTCTGGGGAGAGTGTGACACAGACTGACAAAAAATGTTTTCCTTGTGTTACAGTAAACAGAATTTCAGTGAGAAATCCAAGGATAGGAACAAAGGCAGCAAAAACCATAAACAGTCCACAACGACACTGCCGATATTCATCTGCATCTGGATTAAACCTTGCTTCCTTAAACCCGTGAGATAACAGAAGACCGGGTAAAGCTTCAGATTTGTGGAACTCCATCCAAAGACAGAAGCTCCATGAGGACTTCTCAGAACCAGGCTCACCATCGTGCTAATAAAATCATTAAATAAAAAGAGAGAGAAGGAAAATCTAAGAGGACAGTTGTACCTCACACAGGGACGAGCCCAAAACAGGAATTCCCTTCTGGGGGGGGGGGGGAAATAAGCACTTTTACCTTTTCATGGTTTTCAATTAAAATTTCCACGACAATATTCTGAAACTTCAAATCCATGATGGCAGCAACAGTTTCTTCCTGTGGCCTCATCAGAGTTGGTCCAAACACCACTCCTAAATTTGCCACGGTCATGAGGTTCTGCTTGGAGTGATTTGAAACACTAATAAGATGAGCGGGGGGAAGAAAGGTCTCTGGTTAAAAGAAGGGGCAATAACTGTGGCATGCAGAGTATTTTGCAACTCTGTATTTCCCTAAAAACGAGGAGCCAGACTCAACTGTCCTCAGCGTCTGCCACTGAGATCACTGCATCTGCAAGGCCCCATGTGATGGGGTCCCTGCCTACCTTCCTACCTCCCTTTCTTTGATGCTCTGCTTAACCACAGCATCTTTCTTAATAATTCTATGTGTATGCTAAGCTTGTGTCTCTGAACACCTTCATTTACTGTTCCTTTCTACCTAGGACATTGCTTCTTTCCCCAGGTCATTATACCCTCGCTTCCAAGCACTACTAGACCACATGGCATCTTTGTAAGAATCACCTTCACAAGCACACAGAGCTTGATCAGAACACCCAACTCATCCCTCTCCCAGTACCACTGTGCAGTGAACAACCTGGGCAACTGTTCTCAGCAGCCCTGCAACCTAATTCGGGTCTCAACTCAAAAGGTCTCATCCTCAGAAACGAAGTTCCATAACAACCCACTTTATAGTCCAAAACCCAACATATATTCTTTATCTCTCACTCTACTTGGTCTTTTTACCATTTATCACCTGAAATTATTTTATATTTTTATTTTTAATGTTTATTATCTTTTCCGTCTTAGAAAGAAGGGACTTCATGAAAGTAGGGACTTTGTCTATCTTGTTCAACTATGTATCTTTGTATCAGCTAGCACCTTAAGAAGGCATTCAACCAATATTTTCTGGCCAAATGAATGAACAGCTTTACTAGCAGTAGGACCCTTGGAAACTCATAATATCCTCTGGCCTTCAGTTTCTTTTTCATGTGAAATATGGGTTGTAAAACACAGCATTCCTCAGCTTCCTCCCACCTCTAAAATTTTACAATTACAGTGATCTAGGAGTCCTTTATATATGAAGAAAGAGCTAATTTTTCCACTGAATTCTTAGTTTTTGCTTGCTTTGTAAAGAGGGAGTGAAAGGAATAAACTGGATCCTATGAAATAACTACGTATTATTGGATTAAACAAACTTGAAGGACATGTTCAGACTCAGAGTTAGGTAGGTGTGAAACCAAAGCTAAATTTGCTAACAGGCTTATAATCACATTTCCAGAATCTGTAAGCAGGGAAATGTGTAAGATTCTCTTTTCTTACTTCAAATCAAACCCTGAGTTGCTGGCAGTGACGTTAAGCAAATAATTACACGACTTCATGAGAGCATCATATTTCATCACTCTTGTCCAAAACACACACAATAAGGCAAGTGTCCAGCCTGCCCTCGCAGGTGTGGTCCCTGGTATTGTGTAAACAGCCCCAGCTCCAAGTGTTACATATCTGACACCACCGCACGGCACCCAGAGCAAAATAAAGCAAGTTCGGAAGAAAAAGAGGCTTACTTTGTTAAGTGTTTCACCAGAATATCCAACATTTCTTTATTTTTCTCCGGCAGTTTGTGTACCAAGAAATGGATAGCGTTAACACGAGATTCTGGGCTGCCGCTTTCTTTTAAGGAAAGAAAGAAAAGAAAAAGAAAAAAAATGGTTAGCAGAGAACTCAGAATCAAATATATTCCTAAAAACAATTATAATACTCATCCGTTAAATCTTCAAGCAGATAATTTACATGTATTTTGCCACTTTTCAAAGGAAAAGAAAATCCATCCATCCATCTTTCTCCCTATTATGAATCTTCTATGCCTCCCCCTATGACGTAATGTCAGCGGGGCTGCAATTAGTGCCTTTCCCTCTGCTGATATTTAAGAAGAGAGGGCAACGACGGATTCTCCCTCTGGCATGCTGCACCTCAAGTCTGCTCCTCCTCGCTTACCTGATGAGTCTAGTCACTGGGTCACTGCCCCACATTGGAATGCAAATAAAATACCAGGATTAGGTTCCTCCCTTTTATGGGTTAAACTTTATCCCCCCCAAATGATATGCTGAAACTGCAAACCCTCCTCCACCCCAGTATCTCAGAATGCGACTATTTTTAAATGTACCAGGGATTTGTTTTTATCAGGTGTGGTAAGACACGCAGACATGGAAACAACTCTCAGGAACGAAGACGCTTGTCCTCACAGATCCCTAGAAACGGGAGGCATGGCATGACATGCAGGGCCGCATGGGGAAGCACCTGGGAGGTCAGGAGGCAATGAGCAAAAGGAAAATGTGGGCAAGAGGGTTTATTACAGTATTCACATGAAGGAACAGGCAAGGCAGGGTAAGCAGGCTTAAGACTGGTTGCTGTGAATTTTTTCAGCAGGCTCGGGGGTATAGAGATTGTTCCTGATTACCTGGTTCCTGGCTCTGAGGCAGTTAAGGCAGAAGAATATTGGTCTGGAGTGTTCGAACCCAAAAGATGGGGTCGGGGAGGGAAAAACGGGCTCTGGATTGGTTAGTCTGCACATGGAAAGTGTGCTCAGGTTAATCTCTAGGAATTGGTTAGCCCCAGGAAGGGCAGTCTCCAGGGTCAGTCAAGCCCCAGATGTCAAAACATTAGAATAATGAGACATGACAGTACTTATTTGGAATGAGGTCACTGCAGATATCGTTAGTTAAAATGAGACCACAGTGGGGCAGGGTGGTCCTTTAATCCAAGGACTGGTATCCTTATAAGAAAACAAAGACGTAGAGGGAAGATGGCCACGTGAAGACAGACATACAGGAGAGTATCATGTATCAATGGAGACACAGATTGAAGAGATGCGCCTACAAGCCAAGGAATGCCAAGGATTGCCAGGAAACACCAGAAGGTGGATGGGGCAAGGCTCCTTCCCTAGAGCCTTCCAAGGAAGCATGGCTCTGCTGACACCCTGATTTGGGACCCCACCTCTAGAATTGTGAGAGAATAAATTTCTGCTGTTTTAAGCCGTCTGGTTTGTGGTACTTTGTCACAGCAGCTCTAGCGAACAAATATTGAATATATTACCTTTATCCCTTAGACTTTGGTATTAATGATCGGCCATGGCTCTTACGAACAATGTGCCCAAATTCCCTTTATTGTGTTGATAGAATATTATGGGACAAATCGATCCAATGCTTATTATTGAGAATTATGCTAGAGTTGTCAGGGGTGTCAAAGAAGTGACCCATAAGAACTAGGTGCTCCGTTTACCACAGCAGGAAGGAAGGTTACAAATCGCTATGGAAGTTCACAGAGAGAGGCCAGGGATGCTCAGGAAGGTTTCGCATAAGGGAGAATGTTTGAGTCAGGGCTTGAAGAACGGGAGAGGTTTCAGGGAAGGGTGGAACTAAGGGGTGTGGGGTACATTCTGGATTCAGCAAACAGTGTGAGAAAATACACAGCCTATTCAGAGACCGCTCCTAAGCTTACATAAAGGTGGTCAGGGCCAAACTCTGGTCCGTAAACACCAATATTACTCAGCCATAAAAAAGAACAAAATAAAAAAATATATATATAAAAATTAAAAAATAAGAAGAAGAAGAACAAAATAATACCATGTGCAGCAACATGGATGGACCTAGAGAATGTCATACTGAGTGCAGTAAGTCAGACAGAGAAAGACAAATATATGATATCGCTTATAGGTGGAATCTAAAAAACAATGGTACAAATGAACTTATTTACAAAACAGAAATAGAGTCACAGATGTAGAAAACAAACTTATGGCTACCAAGGGGGAAGTGGGGGGAGGGATAAATTGGGAGATCAGGATTGACATATACACACTACTATATATAAAATAGATAACTAATAAGGACCTACTGTATAGCACAGGGAACTCTGCTCAGTACTCTGTAATGACCTACCTGGCAAAAGAATCTAAAAAAGAGTAGATATATGTATAAATGATTCACTTTGCTGTACAGCAGAAACTAACACAACATTGTAGATCAACTCTACTCCAATAAAAATTAGTTAAAAAAGAGAACTTGTCTTTACTGGTTGCTTCTAAATTAGTCACTGAAAGTAAAGCAAGGAAGGGATACAAGGAGAGTTAAATTGGGGGGAAGACATACCTGACATTTGTAGAGGATGAATTAGAATGGGGAAAAGAGCAAACTAAGAGGGAACCGCTATGTGGTCAAGAAGTATTGAGGCAGCAAGGGGCGGGGACTGGGGTGGGGAAAGGGATCAAACTACAAATAAGGAAATAGAGCAAAGAAGTATAGTTTGCAGTCAGATGGTGGAATCACCGCTTCCAAGTGACAGCTAAGTGGCCTTGGGCAAGTTACCTAACCTCGCTGGGCCTCAGGGTCCTCACCTGCAAAATGAAGCGAATAGCACTACCTCAGAAGGCCACTTGAGATTCCGTGAGGCGGCATCTGTAAAGCACTTAGCCCCAGCACCTGGCATACAGAGGCGCTGGACCGCTGTTAGCAGTCACTGCTGATGCTGTTCACGTCACTGTTGATGTCTGTGTTCCTCTTATGTCAGAGCTACTATGGAAGAGGTAGAACTGACAGGATTTAGCCTCAGACCGGCTACGGGTCAAAGGAAAGAGGCAAAGATGACTGACGTTTCATGTCCTGGTTACCTGGCAGTACAGTCAGTTCTGCTGACAGACAGGAACCCAGGAGGCGAAGCGGGTTTGGGGAGGAAGACGATGGTGGAAGTGATGGAGAAAGTGACATTCAGGGGCTGCTATTCTAGCAGGTATCTGGGAAGGGGAAGAGGCTTTAGAGCTGAAGGCCAGCCACGCTCTCCAAAGGGTGTGACCTCCAGCACGTGGCCAAGGCTGCCCGAGTATTTCAGAGGCTAACAGAGGACGCGGTGGGGAAAAGAGCTCCAAAGACATACAGGGGAGCTAAGCAAAGCACAGGAGGAGGAAGAGACAAGAGGACCAGGGAGTTTCAGGGTCATCAGAAAGTCAAGTGAGAAGAAACCTGCGAACTGGGGAGCTAGTGCTATCCAGAGTTACGGGAGACTGGGGAATCGAAAGACAGAGAAGGGGGCCACGGCTAAATTTACCAATTTTTACAAAAAAAGAGGTTAAAGAGTGAAGTGCTGAAGAGGATGGAGAGGGTGGGTTTCAGACCAATGGTTCAAAACAGAAGGAAGGGAAGGGAAGGGGAAAGAAAGGTAAAGCAGATCAAGAACAGGGAATTTGAGTGGGAGGGAGGGAGAAGCAAGAGGGAAGAGACATGGGAACATATGTATATGTATAACTGATTCACTTTGTTATAAAGCAGAAACTAACACACCATTGTAAAGCAATTATACTCCAATAAAGATGTAAAAAAAAAAAAGAACAGGGAATTTGGTGGGGCTTTTTTGTTTGGTTTTTATAACTAAGGTGCAATTGACATGTAACATTATATTAGTTTCAGGTGTACAACATAGTGATTCAATATTTGGATACACTGCAAAATGATCACCACAATAAGTTACCAATTTTTTTTCTTGTGATGAGAATTTTTAAGATCTACTCTCTTGGGACTTCCCTGGTGGCGCAGTGGTTAGGAGTCCGCCTGCCAATGCAGGAGACACGGGTTCGAGCCCTGGTCCGGGAGGATCCCACATGCCACAGAGCAGCTAAGCCCGTGTGCTACAACTGCTGACCCAGCGCTCCAGAGCCCGCAAGCCACAACTACTGAAGCCTGCGTGCCTGGAGCCCGTGCTCCGCAGCAGGAGAGGCCACTGCAATGAGAAGCCCACGTGTAGCAACAAAGACCCAATGCAGCCAAAAATACATACATAAAATAAATTTATATAAAAAAAGATCTACTCTCTTAACAACTTTCAAATATACAATACAGTATTAGCAACTATAGTCATCATGCTGTACATTACATCCTCACGACTCATTTATCTTTTTTTTTTCTCATTTATCTTATAATTGGAAGTCTGTACCTTTTGACCCACTTCTCCCACTTTGCCCACCCCCTGGCCTCCCACCTCTGTCAACCATCCATCTGTTCTCTGTACCTATGAACTTGGGTTTTTTGTTTTGGATTTTTTTTTTAAGAGTCCACAAATAAGTGAGATGATAAAGTATTTATCTTTCTCTGCTTGACTTAGGGAATTTTTTTTTCAAAACGATAATAGTTTCACCTTATCATTGTAAAAATTAAATATCTTTTCTGCTAAAATTTTAGGAAACATAGATAAAATAAAAATTCAGTTGAAAAAAACACTAAAAATCTGAAACATATAGAGTTGAGAAAGACCAAGCAATCAGATTACACAGAACTCCTACAAATCAGAAAAGAGAGAACCCAAAAGAAAAACAGGGAGAAGCACGGAGCAGAAACTTCATGAAAGGGGACAGCCATACCACCAATAAGTGTATGGAAAAAGCACTAAACCTCATTAGTTATCAGAAAAACAGAAATTAAAACCACAATAAAGGATTCCTATACACCCATCAGGATGGCTTTAAGTGAATATTAAGCTTGGGCAAGGACACGAAGAAACTGGAACTGTCATAGAGTAACTGGGTGGGAATAATTAAATGGTACAACCACTCTGGAGAACTGTTAGTTAGGCAGTATCTACTAATGTTGAACACACACATTCCCACGACCCCAAAATGTCATTCATAG